TGAGGTCTTCACTTCTTTTATATTTCCCTTGGAAAACACAATCTACTGCTCTCTCCCAGAGTGATTTCACTGACTACAAGGGAGTTATTTCCCTCAGCACTGTCATTGTTTATTAAGAGTAGCTTACCTCAGGTTTTAAGACATGTGAATACCATATGAAGTTATTTAAAGATGACACTTTTTCTCTGTTCTTGTTTAGGAAAAAAAAAAAAGAGAGAGAGAGAGATGTTTCTTTCAACATTCTGACATAGTTTGTCCAAAGGATGACCCAAAACCAGGGACTAACATCTATACATAGAGAGGAATCAGCTGCTAATTCCCACTGGTTACGGTGGAAGTTTTTTGATACTAGGAAAACCAAGCTATCAGTTTAGGTGCTGCAACCCAGATTTGGGAGCACATATGTTAGATTCCATCCTTAAAAGCCTATACCTTTACATTTTGTAATTTAGTATTTAGTTTTAATAGTGACAGATGGCACACCCAGACCCCAGAGTCTCAAATAAACCTAGATTGAATTTTTAAACTGCCAAAAGAAAGCCAAAGTGTGCAGAACTAAACCACCAAATTGCAACTGTTCCAGTCTCTACAAACTAGTGAGGAGCCTGTGCTACAGAACAACTTTTAGGAAGCTGTGCAGTTTTCTCCAAGGACCCACATGAAAAATGTTAGAGGAGACATAAATAAATAGCCAAATGGCCTCCTAATTTCCATTTAGAAGTAATAGCATCAGCTCAAGCATACTCTACCAAATATGAGTTGTTTTTCAGGCTCACTGGCATGACAGGAAAATATACTTTGCTCTATAAACAGATTATATGCTGCTTTATAAAGCTCTAAAATATTTTTTACTTCTGTGACAGGTTTGATTTATTAAAGTTTATTGCTTCTGGTTTTGCCCTCCTAGTGAAGAAATAAAATTTTAGGATAAAAAGAGCTGGGAAGAATTTGTCCTTATGAATGGGACTTTGACTTTGCTATAGCAGTAAGAGACCTGAATCTGAATATTTGATGCACTCCGGAAGATGCCGGTTGAAGGTAGGTGCGTGTGCTTCGGTGACCTAGTGCAAGGCTTGCTTTGAAATACTCTCCCAGTTGTTTTTCATAGCAGGGCATGAACCATGATAAAATCACTAAATTTGTGTTCCGTTGCTTTTGTTTAAAAAAAAAAATTACTGCCATCCCTTAAAAGCTTGTTTTCTTTGTTGATTAAGCGGCAGTCAATTTTCCCTTTTCAAACAACCACAGAGCAACAGCCTCCCGACCCCCTCAGATGTTCGGGCTGCCGGCAAATACTAAAACCTCAGTGACAAACTGCAAAAAAGCTCGACCTTTCCCCTTGTCCAGTGACCCTCTGTTCGATTTGTACTTTAGCTAACCAATACCTGATTAGATAATGCTCAGCTCTAGACCCACAAAATGAGATAAAATTCAAATTTATGGCTTTTCATTTAAACTGATCTACAGCACTCTAATCATGACCCAAGCACAACTATATCACAACAAATTCTCTTTGTCCCAGAGTGTGTTTTATGGCTGAACTATATAAATGGACACAATGGACATTGTTTTCTTGGACTTGCTCTGACAAAACTCTGCGTCGATGTCATAGGGAGTCTTGCTATCAGAGAATGTAGGAACAGGCCCCATGAAATTCATCAGCCTTCTGCAGCAACTTTTTCTTTATCAACAACTGCCTGGCTGCAAAATGTAACAGCAGCAGTTCCTCCAGCTTCCATTTCTCTTCTGACCACTACAGGCTAATCCTAGTATCAACTCAGATGGACATCAGACACAAAAACTGGAAGTCAGAAGTATCCCACAGCTGGAAATACCCAAAACTATGATAACCTTTGCAAGGGAATAAAAATGTCCTGTTTTAAAAATGCAGTTACAGCCCAAATTTGCATGTAGCTGTAGTCTTCCCTCCAATGTGCATGTAGGGTTATGGTTTAAAGTTTTCTATTGTAAGACTCTAGGCTACCTGATAATCCTAAACAATTGCAAAAAAGGAGCAAATATTTCATAGTTAAATTTGTAAGATATGCAGCATCAGAAAAAGCCTGAGGAAGATGCTTAGCCTTCCTTTCAAAATTATTTTAATATTTTTATGCTAATATTTTCTTGAAAAGAGAGTCTTCGTTCATGATCTTTGAAAGTCAAACACCATTGTAGATTCAGTGGTTCACCTTAAACCCAGAAAAATGCAGATAGAATGAAAATATTGATTTTTCCAATAACTTAATCATCCTCGCTGTAGCCACAGGAGAGTCAACTTAAGAGAATTAAATAAGTACACAAGCATTAGCAACATTGTTACCTCACTATGTATTTGTTGGAGCACTGCACTTAGGAGGTGAAGAAGAGTAAGCCAAGACACACCAAAAGACTTTCTTTAGCCTGTGGAACCAGCAAGGAGTATGAATAGGTTGGGACATCTCACCTTTTGAAGCCTCCAGACACAGCTCACCTCTATAACACCCTGAGCTAGTCTAGGAATTACACACAGTCAAGCACAAGAGAATATCATTACAGAATCTACATCAGTCCAATTTACTCAAACAAGTGTCATTGTGGAAAAATCTTAAAACCTCTTGTACTACAGAGCCACTTAAACCCACACCCAGCGCCATACAGAAACTTTGGTTCCATCCTTTCTGCGTTTAAGACTAACAATGAAATTTCACCTTGATATCACTGACAGCAGAATGAATTCTCGTTTGTTAACTGACTGGTCTAGTCACAATGGTAGGGTTGGACTCTATGATCTTTGAGGTCTCTTCAAACCTGATTGATTCTATGATTCTATGGCTTATTGGCACCTGGCAGGATAAATACTCTGTTTCTCAAAAGTGCCCATTTAAGCAGAAAACCACACCACCAGAAAAGGTTACATTCCCAAGAACATACTTGAACCTCAATAAATGGTACCTTTTCTTCACCATCCCACACTGCCTTTAACACTGCCAGAGTCCTCACACCAGTAACAGCTTCTTTCCCCCTTTTAAATCCCAAGGCACAAGCCCAAGGAATTGGTGGATTCCAGAGGAGTATGATGATGAACTGGAATGTGCACCAGTACAGTCTTGTTCAGAACTAGCAGGTCCCCCCACATCCATCCTTTAGCCCTAACCATCACTATATGGCATTTTACTCATGCATAAACTCCGATAACCAACGTTTCTTTGTCTCACTTCAATTACAATAAATGTACTTAACCCACTTGTTGGAAAAATATTCTGTTTCAAGCTCCCCTGAGCATCACAGAGTACTTCTGGATGAGTGACCAAACTGCAGAGGGATTTGTCTGCTGATTTTGTGTGATTTTGCTCCAACACTTTTCAATAGCTTCCCCCAGCTGTCCCAAATATATAACACTATTCAAATGGCACAAGTCCTGCAGCTTGAAAGGGGTTCAGTCTGCCAGCTGGACTTCCAGCACTATCAAGAAATTAATTATTTGCCTGGATATCTTAGATCCCAAAATCCTAAATGTTTCAAGTAGGAAAACTAGTCTCTAATGTTGTAGCATTTTACCAGCATCTAAGGGTGTGAAAATCAAGATGGGATTCCCTCAGTTTTAGCAGGGTTACCCTGCACTGCACTATACCACTTGAGGGTCTAGTCTAAAGTGCCCTAATTTTAGAACATGTTAAACCTGCAAGTACAGCCATGTATCAACAGTTTTGCTTCAATTTCTGCTATCAATATCTGAGCATAATCGTGGTGTGGTTAAAGGTCAGATTTTATGGTTTCCTGGTGCCTTTTTCAAATAATAAAGATTTCTCACTAGCAATTATATTGCATCAGAGTCTGTTAACTCGATAGAGTGCTGCCAAGTCTATAATTTCTCCTGACACTATTCTGTCACATTGTCACAGGTCTCACAAGAGTTTAAACAACTGGATGGAAAATTTGGAATTAACTCACTGAGAGTTTATGGATAGTCGAGAGCAAATCAAACCTCCATTTTTCCACCATATCTGCAACGCTCTGCTCCACATTGAAGCACCAGTTTTCCTGGGAAAATGAACTCCCATCTCTCCAGAGGTCAGCCATGCCTCTGGAGAGCCATGCAAACTCTGCACTTATCAGAAACCAAAGGAAACGTACAGATGGGAAGCTGAGATTATGCTCTGTTCCTACAGCACATTGTTAAAACTATGAATAAAACCATGCAAGAATGTTTGTTACATCATACCACAACAGCAATGTGCACCACTAGAGATTTAAATCCCTGACCTGACCATGGACCAGCAGCTCAGCGAGTTCCACAGTGATATCACAGCAAGGAAAACATGTTGCCCCCAAAGGCAGGGAAAGCAAGAGCCAATCTCTGCACCAGCCAAAGGAGGCCTTGAGCTCCTTCAGGAAAAGCAACATTTCCCAGAGCATTTGCTGAAGTAACATCAACCACAGCATCCCATGTGTGCTGGGTCTGACACCAGCATCCAAATGTACTGCACCAAACGAATGGCAAAATTCCCAGGATCAACCCTGCAGCTTTTGAAGTCCAAGTAGCACAAGCTTCTTCAATAGCAATTTTAGCCACACAACACTACCTTTAAGGGCTATTCTGATCTTAGTTGACAGAAAGTGGCAATTCACCACCCTGAAAGCTGCACCCAGTTTCTTTTCAAACATACAGCGCAGCGACTTTTGCAAACCCCTCACCCACAGGCATACTGCAGGACTATGCAAGAACAGACCAGAAATGGTACAGAAATGTTCCAACAACTCAACTTTTTCCTCTCCCTAAAAGAAACATCATCTTCCAATATCAACCCAGATTTCATGTATGAAGAACGATGTTAATTCCTGGTTTTCTTTTTTCAATTTACACTTGTTTGAATCCGGAAAGCCCTGAAAGGCCACAAAGCAGCCTTGGTGAACACAAATATCCTCTGGCTGCTGCAGGATAGGACTTAAATTCTGCAAATACTTCTGTATTTATAGACACACAAGTACTCAACAGACCAAAGCAATGTACAGCATCTTACCTCCCAACCATAACTGGGATCTTTCAGGTGTTGCCGCTGCTCTCCTACAAAAGGGCCAAATTTTTCCCCTGCTTCAATCTTCCTTTTGGTCCATATCCCTAATCCTGCTCCAGGAATGTTGGATTCTCGGAGCTCAAACTCTGAAGGAATGGGAATGTCATCGGGAATGTATATTGGAGCCTTGTAAGGAGAGCTCTCCTTTGGCGTGAAAGCTTCGCTGGAGGTTGCTGGAGAAGACGGTTCTTGAATGCTGACAGATGTTGGACACTGGATGTTTGCAGTCTCTCCATCAGCTTCTGGCACTTCCTCCAAGGGAAGTTCAGGAAAACTCTCATACAAACATTCATCACCTGGAAAAGAAAGCCAAACAGTAGGATTTGAAATACCCTGACAGATTTTGCATATGAAACCCTTTCAGCCTGCACATGGAATTGAGAGGACAGTTTGGTAGGCGGGAGGCACCTTCATCAATCACTAATACTGCAGCAGAGCCTCACCCTGGAAGGAACTGAGTCTTTTCTCTAGTGTAGGCCTGGGGGAACACAGTGTTTCTCAATATTCCCTGACATCAAAAGTGGTTTGCATCATTGAACACAAGTGAGGGAATTACATACAGATGTATAGGCAGGCACACCCCATTGTCCAATCTGGTCCGGATACAGCACTTCGCATTGCACACTCTTTGAAATTACAATTGAAAGCCAGCATTATACGTTACAACTGAAACCTAGGAGAAGTGAAAAGCAGGAAAGCTTTACTGGTCTTTCAGAGAGACAGATTGAACTTAAAGTAGCCAAAATTAAGTTTGATGGTCTCCAATTAGTCTTTGGAGGAAAGGATCCAGCCTACCACGCAACTCTTGGCAAGAGCTTCAGCTGATGTAAATCAGTGTCTTACCATTGACCTCCAAGAAATGCAATGGTCTAAAATAAGTTCAGGATCCAAACAGCACCTTATAGAGAACATGAACCTTCTCCTCTTACAGTTGCAAAAAACCCTGGGGCAGATCCAAAACACATTAAAAAAAACTTCATCTCTGGGGCTTAGCCAGCAAACAAAACAGAAAAAAAGAAAAACTCACTATTTTTGACAGCTCAAAATGTAAGACTGATTGTAAATTCCTTTTAGTCAAAAAGCTGAGTTACTTCAGCAGGGGCTTTAGCTGCACCAGCAATACAGTGCTTAACCCAATAACAAATGCAAAAGAAGCAAAAAGATGAACTAACAAAAAAATTCTTAATCATTCACATTTATTGAACTTTATTAACATTACTCTATTTTCATACACTCCAGAAGTTACACCATTTAATTCTATCCTAAACAAGAGGCAAGAATACTGTTCTCCAAGGATTGAAATCAAGAGACTGAGTATTTATGACCTGAGCAGGAGGATATTTGCATAATATGGTTGGCCCAGAAATTAAAGCGTTATGCTGGGCTTGGCATTCAGAATGACTCTGTTTCAGTGAAGAAACAGGAAACTTTAAAATGTTCTTTCAATTTCTTGCTCATTTAAGAAACTATCCATGGTAGATTAGCACCGTATGCCTTTTCCACTGGAAACTGGTCATAGACCATTGTCTCTCACATCTTTGTTACATATTATCTCATGGTTTTATATCTGTAGTTTCATGCTCCTGGTACTGGCTAAGACAAACACTGGGACATAACAAATCATTGGAATAGATTGCTCCCATCACAGGACTGGCAAACTGGATTCTTCATCTGTGAGCAATTTATTCACAGCCATGAACTGTTTTTCTTTCTTTTATGTGGCACTGGCTATGACCTCATACATGTCACAAGAAAGTTCAGCTACCCGTTCCCTTGGCCTCTGGTTTGGCAGACTCTCCCCGCACTTTAACAATTGAACCCAATATTGATTAGTTTGTCACTTTCCTAATACCTGGTGCTCTGAGAAGTAGAAAATCTTGACTGACTCCTCTATTTAGCTGAGAAGGACAGACAGAGGGAATTTCCATCCTTATGGTTCAGAGATCCTACCATATCCTGCCATCCTGTCATACTTCAGCAGTGCTGAGTTTGGCAAGCATGTTCGAGGGCTTGTGAAATCACCAGTGCCTAGCACCTATGAGCCCATGCCCATACCTTCCTGCCCACAGTGAAACTTAAACTGGACTCCAAGGAACAGGAAAAATGACATGGAAAGGATAGACACAGCTCCACCTGGATGCCACCACTCACTTTGTCCTGCACTGAGACAATCACACTAGTAGCCATTTCTGTTACAGCAAGACACTGTTGCTGCCCCCAAACACAGCTCTGCTCCAGAGTGGTGGGACAGGTGACAGAGTTTCATCCACACCTCCTAAATATCCCCAAAACTCTGATGTGCTCCCTGACTTCACAGGCCAACAGCAATGCTGCATCCACCCAGAGCAAACTCACTCCTGTTCAGATGCCTTCCCCCAACTGTTTAGATTGCAGTCCTGCCTAAAAGACTTCAGCTGGTTTTGAAACAGGGATAAAAAACCCCTAACCCATGTATACACATGGGGTGCAGGAAGAGAAATCACACAAGGAAAGTGATCTGGATGATGATAAGCACATGGCTCACTGGAAGGGGGGCGCAGTGGGTAAAAACTTCAGGCATCTAAATCCCACTGATTTTCCATGACAGCTGGGTGCCTGACACTCAAACTCCTTAAAGCCCATCTCACAGTCACTGCTGTTGTCCCTGTCCCACCAAGAAGTGTCCCATAAAACCAAGGCTCTTCCTGTGCCCCACGGTCAGCTCTCCTCCACCAAATAACAGAGTGTCTCAGCCAAATAATTTAAGTACAGCAAGCAATAACCTGCTCTGTGCCTTTCCCAAAGGACCACCTTCCTCAGCTCCAATCACCAGCAGTGCCTGCCCACAAGCGGAGCCTTAAACATCTAGCAAGCACAGCTTTACAGATGTTTCTTCTCCCCCAGGGACAGTCCAGTTTAATTTCTCTCTTGCCGTCTCAAAGGCCTCGGTTATACTTATCTCAGTCATTCTGGCTACACTCGTTTTTAGCCATATAGGGTCAAACCTGCAGCTGATAAATTGGCCTCTGGAAGCCTGGCAGGGAGACAAGTCCATTTGCTGGGTCTATTGTGCCTCCTTTGATTTCCAGCAGCCACACCCAATGTCGTCGTTAAACACCGGCTTTCAGCTTGAAAGCTCTGGAAAATATAATATGCCTTACTGCCCCAAAGCTCCAACAGTGTGGGTAAAACAGATTACTGAAATAGTCTTTTGCCTGAAATAGCAATGTATTCTAGAAAAAAAATATATATTTTTAAACCCCAGAATAAACTCAGAGTTGAATTATGTCTGACCAAGAGATGGGAAGACCATTCAGACATATTTGTGAAATTAATTATAGAAGGAGCTATATTAAAATCAATCTACATGAATCAAGGATCTGGTCTTATTGTCAAAGGGTGTGGGACTATTCACCTTGAAAGGAGTAATAAGTACAAATTGAAAGAGGGGAAATTTAGGTTAGATATTAGGAAAGAATTTTTTACAGTGAGGGTGGTGAAATACCGCAACAAGTTGCTCAGAGAGGTTGTGGATGCCCCAGCCTTGCCAGTGTTCAAGACCAGGATAGATAAAGCCTTAAGCATCTTGTCTAGTGGGAGGTGTCCCTGCCCAGATCACAGTGGGGGTTGGTACTAGATGATCATTAAGGTCCCTTCCAAACCCTTAACACGCTTTGATTCTGTGATTCTATAAATTTGCAGCCAGGGACTTCCAGCAAAACCATAGGACATTGACTGTTAGAAAACCTTTGTGAGGTTAGAATTAGACCCAGGGACCATGCAGATAAACATCGTTTTCATACTGAACTTCAAATCATTCACACAGATAGTACTGCAGCTTTGAAATTCAAGATGGCTTCCTTAAATTCCAATAATTATCCCCACTAGAAATGGGATGAAATAAAAAAATGTGGCCTCTGATTAGGAAAGATGAGATTAGGTAATGTGGAAGCTTAGATATTAACCTCCATAAAATTCTTCACTGCTATTTTACAATAAAAACATGAGCAAGCTTCAAAGGAAACCCAAGAGGAAAGGTTAATTGCTACTAAAAGACCAGGGTGGACACCTGCATTTGCACTTTTGACACAACCTTGCACGCCAGCAGGAAAGAGTCCACGTGGCCATGTGCTGGGGATATGCCTGATGAGGGCAGGAGAGCGACATACCAAAGCCACCACTGTAACTCCAGAGCTTGGGGTCATTTCAAGACCGAGGGCTTCTGTGCATGGTTGGGAGGAGGAGAGGACTTCCTTCCATTCGCATGTTTCTTAGCAGTTCAGCATGCTCTTCCTCTCCAAGAGCAATTAGGTAAGAGGTACTAATGACAGAGAGGCAGAGGTTTCTGAACAGAACCCAAACCACTTTCCCCTGGCTGCAATTGTTAGCAAGGCAAAGATGTTCTGCAGTCAGAAGTACTTTCTGCAGCTGCAATGCCACACAATGCCATCTCAAGTCAAGCAGACACACTAGTCTGTTACATTTATCAGTAGTTTAGGGCAGTCTTAAACTTCACACAAAGTCCTCGTAGGATCAAGTCTACACTCGGATCTCCAGAACCAAAGCCATCACTAACAAACAGAAACACATCCACACAGACTATCTGTTCTTCCTTTCTCTAGGCAATTTGTGCCTGACGATGCCCAAAACAGCTACTGATTGATAAACGCTCTAGCACAATAAATCCAGCTCTCTGCACTGGGAGTCATGCACGTGGCCACCAGTGACTTGATCATAAGCTGGATGGCTGATTACTCCGGATGAAAGAGGTATGCTGGAAGCAAAGGCGTCTAGAGAGCCTACTTCAGAATGCCATCATCTTCTGAGCAGGATAAAGTAAGAGCTAAGATAAACATGGGAAGTAGCTCTTTGCTACAAGAAGAGACATGCAGTTGCATGCCCGTCACTTCTCAAAGGTGAGAAAGATGACCCCTAGTCCCAAAAATTAGACACCATGAAGATGTGACTTTAGTTGATGAGAGAATTCCATCACATGTCAAAAGCTTTGAGCTCTACTGACCATGCCAGATACAAGCCTTTGGTGAGGATCTATTAATGAAGGCTTTAGAAAATACAGTAGTACCACATGAAATAATCCCTTCTCCTGCATAAGGTGAGGGTGGACCTAAATGTACCACAAAGCCCTGAATCGGATCCTTGAAAGAGACCAGTGAGCATTTACATTTGTTTGACCAAGTATTATTATTCAGCACTGAAGAAATCAGCCTGAAGTATTTGCAGGAACATCTAAAAAGGAGACAGGCATTTCCTGTTGCATACAAATGGACACCTTTATCTGAAATTCTGTTTGAACAAG